CTTTGAGGTATGAGGTGAGGAGGGAAAGTGCAGAGCCTGAAACTCCAAGTTCTTGGAGAGTGCGAAGGAGGATCTGATGATTCACCGTGTAAAATGGCAGCAGACAGGTCCAAAAGGAATGATGACAGAGGAGAGGGAGGCTGCTTTAGCAGTGTGCAGTTCCTCAGTGACAGCAAGTTTCTGTGGAGTGACCTGCCTTGAAACCAGACTGGGTGCGGATCCAGAAGGTTGTTCTGATGGAGATAGCAGGACAGTTGTCTAAAGACAGCGCGTTCAAGTGTTTTAGACAGGAACGGGAGGAGAGAGACAGGCCTGTAGTTTATAACATCTGACGGGTTGAGAGTGGGTTTCTTTAGGAGAGGGTTTACTCTTGCCTCCTTGAGACTGTTTGGAAAGTGACCAGAGAAGTTAGAGAAGTGTTGGATGAAATGGGTGAGAAACAGTAGAATATCAGGAGCGATAGTCTGAAGGAGGTTTGAAGGGATAGGGTCCAGAGGACAGGTGTATGGGCGGGCAGAGGTAATGAGGGGTAAGAAACTCACTTGGAGAGAGAGGGGAAAAGTGAAGGTCAGTGTGTGGGTGAAAGGAGGGTCTGGTGACCCAGCGTGAGTAGAGGTGAGTCAGAAAAAGAAGAGCGAATATCATCAACCTTTTTTTCAAAGTGGTTAACCAAGTCGCTTGACAGAAGGGAGGAGGGGAGAAGGGGCTTTGGGGGGGTCCAGGAGGAGGAGAAGATGGAAAATAGTTTGTTGGGATTGGAATAGGAAGATTGGATCTTATCTTGAAGAATTGCTTTTGCCTGAGAGATCGAAGCAGAGAAAGAGGAGAGCCTGATAGGTTAGGAGGTCGTCACGGTCCTTTGGATTTTCCACCATTTCCGCTCTGCTGCCCGAAGGACGGTTCTATTAGCACGCAGTGCATCATTTAGCCAGGAAGCAGGAGGGGACTGACGAGCCTGCCGAGATGTGAGAGGACAGAGCGAGTCCAGAGAGGATGAGAGAGTAGAGAGGAGAGTTTCTGCAGCAGAGTTTGGAGGCAGCAATTGGAACCAGTCAGAGGAAGGGAGGGCTGAGAGCACCGATGAGGCAAATGTAGAGGGGGAGATGGGAACGAAGGTTACGGCGGACAGGTGCAGGATGAGAAGAGATTAGTTTGTTATGTTTGGAAGGGATAGAGAGAATGAAATGAAGAAGTGATCGGATGTGTGGAGCGGGTTTACAGAGAGGTTAGAAGTAGCGCAGTTCCTTGAGAATATGAGATCAAGGACATTGCCAGCCTTATGAGTTGGTGGGGACGGAGACAGTGAGAAAGCAAAGGCAGTTTAACAGAGATGTTAGTTCGTCTATCTTCCCTGTCTGGAGGTTGAAGTCTCCGAGAAGTACAGCGGGAGGACCAGTTTTCAGGGATGTGTGAGAGGAGATGATCTAATTCCTCCAAGAAGTCCCCAAGGCGCCTGGTGGACGGTAGAGAACAACAATGGTTAATTGTATAGGATGGGTTACTGTGACGGCATGGAATTCAAAGGTGGAAGGAGTGAAGTTAGGTAGCTTGAAGAGGGAAAAGCTCCATTTGGGAGAAGAGCAGGAGACCAGTGCCACCTCCTCTGCCAGTGGGTCTGGGTGTATGGGAGAAGGAATATGCTGTGGAGAGAGCTGCTGGTGTGGATGTGTTGGATGGAGTAATCCACGTCTCAGTGAGAGCAAGGAAATCTAGAGACTGCAGGGAGGCGTAGCCAGAGATGAAGTCAGCCTTAGGAACAGCTGACTGGCAGTTCACAGGCCAGCCTGAAACTAGATGTTGGATCTCAGTGGAGCATGTGGGATAGACGACGAGCAGGCCGGTTATATCAATTACGAGATGAACACGGGGCCAGTGATAATTGCGAGAAGACACATAAACAGGAATGGAGAAAATACACATGATTATAGCATGAGGGGCTTAACCACAACCACATAAAATAAAAACACCAGCGATACTTAGCTCAATCAAAGTAGGATTTGCCTCCCTCGTGGACTCCCGCAGGACTCTAATGTCTTAGCCTGGCTGAAGCTGACGCTCCCGGAAAGTGCTACCTTAAAATGGACACTCTGATTGCTGAGTCTCCACAGCTGTGGGGCCACTTCCCTTTAATTAGTTAACTCTCTGCAGGCTGGTGGCCCTCAAAGGAAATCTAGACTGGCTTCCTCCTGACTTGTTATTTTCTTTTAAGTCAATTACATTAAACCCTAAGTTATAAAGTTATGAGTTTAACCCTTAATACAGTTACACCTACTCAATTAAAGCTCTTTAGTATTCTACCAATGTTTTAAATCAAAGTTAACCCTAGCAGTCAGTTAGTTCAGTTTTAAGGTTTCAGTCAAATTACTTGTTCCCAAGTTTCTGCCCTGACAGATACTGTAGCCGGTTTTTGAGATTTAAAATCCACAATTTCAGTCAGATCAACTACAGAGCATTGATACAGAGTACACACACTGAAACAGAGAAGTCTAAAAACAGAATGTTACTCACTCAAAAGTCTCCAGTTGCTTTCCTGTCAAATCGAGTTGCACACATAATGAATACAAATACTCTACCCTACTCACTATAAGTGATTGCTACTTAAAGTGATAGAAAATCCGTGCACATCTGGTTAATATAAAATTATCCTCACCCATCTCTAACAGTTTCACGGCTTTTCTGCACTATTTTTCTTCAAGCTGGGAACATGATAGAGTTTTTTACTTAGTCAGGAAGAAAGAGAATAGCAGCATCTAAAGCAGGAGACATAAAAGACATGCAAAGATTTTGCATGATTTTTTAATATTGCCAGAAGCTAAAATGTTTCAACATGAAATTGAAGGGAAACTGTCTTACGTCTTAATTTAAATGAAGATGGGTTGGTTAATAACATAATAAAGCAGTTATTTAGGATTGTATTTTTATTTTGAGTTTCCAATGACTTGTTTTGCAAAGGAACAATTAACCATTCCACCAGCGCTGCAGAGAGCTTTGATGGATGACAGGCTTTCATCCCATTGTTGGTCTTTTTCTGAATATCAGGACAATTTTCTGTGTATCATGGTGACTTGTAAATAATTCTTCTAATGGGTATGGTGCACGTGTGTGTGTGTGTGTTGTGTGTGTGTGTGTGTGTGTGTGTGTGTGTGTGTTGTGTGTGTGTGTGTTGTGTTGGTGTGTGTGTGGGTGTGTGTTGTGGTGTGTGTGTGTGTGTGTGTGTGTGTGTTGTGTGTGGTGTGTGTGTGTGTGTGGGTGGTGTGTGTGTGTGTGTGTGTGTGGTGTGTGTGTTGTGGTGTGTGTGTGTGTGTGTTGTGTGTGTGTGTGGTGTGTGTGGTGTGAATAGAAAAATATATAAATTGGGAGAAAATATGAAAGTTATTAAGCCCCTCTCAGAAGCAAAAAACACCGGCTTAGGCTTTTATCAGTGCTCGTATAACAGGCATAAATACAAATCTGATCCAGCTGATTACTGGCAAATCGTCACCGAGCCACTTCAAGGCAGTATTGGAGGCATTGTGCAGGATACACACACACAACACACACACACAACAAACACACACACACACACACACCACACACACACACACACCACACACACACACACACACCACACACACACACCACAACCTCAAAGCTCTTCCCCCTCATGTGTACATTGGCTGCCAGAGCTGTCTTTTGATCCTACCATCACCATAAACAACTGCCTCACAGAACATCTGAAAAAAAGAGAAAAGCCAAAGTGAATTTCTCTCACTCAGTTTGACTTGGAGATGGTGAGAGGAGCGGTCGGCAGCTCCCCGCAGCATGTCAGTGTGGTTGTGTGTGAAGGCGGGGCTGCAGATGACTTGGTGTGTGAAGAGGCAAGGAGGATATGATGTGCAATTCGGAAAGTGTAGGGTTGTGACTTTTAAGAGCGAAGGATATACAATGATGCCGCCCATGGTGAGTGTTGTTGAAACATGGCAGCTGCAATCTGTTTGCATTATTGCATGTTTTGTACGTGTTTATGAAGTAATTAAGTTAGTTGTGAAATGTATTTGTGTATATGTGTCCAGAGGCTTTCGAACATGTGGATGTTACGTAAGGACTGGCGCTGAGAAGCAGCAAATGCAATAGTAATGAAAGGTTGTTCTGCTCATTTGGTATACTGCAAGATATGTGTGTAGTTAGATCTGGGATACCCATTAGTTTATTAATCATGTTTTTCATTGTTATTGTATGTGTTCAGTGTCACACTATAATGGTAGTAGATTTGTTTTAATAATACCTCTTTTTACTCCATGTCTTCTATACGTACAGTTACATAGCTATAGATAATTTCTGCCGCTGTATAATTCTTTCTCAGCCCAGGATAGATGTTGCCCTTGACACTTCAGGCTTTATAGTAATCTATTATGAAATGTTAGTGCTGGTACCTTGCTCATAGCTTCATTTTTCACTATACTCTACAGGCTTACACCCATCAGCCAGAGGTGATGAAATATGTTTAATCAGAAGTCACAGAGGAAATTAAGTGTTGATGTGGTGTTAGGATCTGGTTTTGGTCGAACCTGCCCACAGGTTTCTGCTTGTTGTATGAACATGATTTTAAACATCAGTGTTAGACCCCAGTGATGTAACAATATTGCTTTAAGGTACTGTAAAGTATTCTACCCATAACGCTTAAACTACAATTGTGATGTTTGCTCACGTATCTCATTTTCTAGGCATTACCATCAAAGGAAAGCTCTTTCAGACTTTCTGCGTTACCTCTCTGCCTTTTCCTTGTCTCTTTTGGTCCATCCTATAATAGCTTATACACGTACTGCACATGGTCCATTTGCTTGGCATGACAGAACAGAAATAAACCGTTCAAACACCCAAGCAGAGAGCAGCGACTTTAGCTTTCATCTCTGAACTGCATTATTAAACATCTCCATCAGCATGAGTCTGACATCAACCAATCACAGCTTGTCTCTTCCCTCTGCTTCCCCCTCTCCGCCCTCCCCTGTCTCCCTCATTAGGCAAACCTGAAGAAGTTCATGGAGTATGTGCAGCTGAGGAACATTGAAAAGGTCTCAAGTTTCCTGGAGAAAGGCCTGGACCCCAACTTCCATGATCCAGATAACAGGAGGTGAGCAGTGGTACAAAGAAAGATCCTATCCCTTCTATACTTTAGTTATTTTTACTTCGCTTTTTCAACCTTTGACTTTTTTATTTTTGAATGTCTTTTATTCAGGTTCATTCATTTTTCTTTCTTAAATCATGCTTTCTCTCTCTCTTTCTCTCTCCCTCACTCTCTGTTCATTTGGTTGTTTTTCACTAAAATGACCATTTTGAGGTTTTTCTGAAATAAGCCTTCTGCACATTGGGTAAAGCTGGATTACTCCTTGGCTAATCTCCTCACATTTATGCAAATGTTTGTCCAGCCATAAAGGAGATGTCACTGTTGGGAAGCGGGATGAATAAGAATGGCTTGGGTTAACACCAACAGGAAGCAGTCACTTAGGCAGACCAGAGGGTGACAGTCACCAGGCAGTCATCCAGATGCAGAGTCACTGGAAAGTATACCCACTGTTTTACGAATGGAGCCGGCGATTTATGTCTGCAAATATTGACAGGTTCAATTTTTTAAATGTCAACTTTGTAAGATGAATGCACAGTAAAGCCACTGGAAATATGTTGATTTTTGAATTAGTTTGCTCACTCATCCTTGTGTTTGACAGAATGTCCTCTAACGCTGGCAGCACAGCTGGAGGGATGTGCAGAGCTCATCAAGGTGCTGAAGAGTGGGGGGGTGCATCTGGACTACAGAACAAAAGATGGCATTACTGCCCTACACAAGGCTGTGCGCAGCAAGAACCATACAGCGCTTATAGTGAGTATAACATGCACAGCCTCGCAGTCACACACACTCACACACACACAATCGTAGCAGAAAGCTGACTCCTCTCTTTGTCTTTCTTCTGCTACTCCAATTGCCCGCCTGCAAACTTTCCCTTTGGGAAGGCAGAGTTTGCAGGTAGGCAATCTCTGGCAGAGGGTGCTTGAGAAATCGAGCACAGAGGGAGCTTGAGCAATTACCAAATATGTGGGGATTAGCATGCTCTCTCTCAATGGGCTGGCATATTCAGAGAATGGCCTTGTATGTGTCGGGTTTGAGGAGGCTCGTAACCTAAATGAAAGGATTTATGAGTCATATAATTGATTTCCTGTTGAGCCAGAGCTGTTGAAAATAAAATTGGTTATTTCCGGTCTGTCAATATCAATATCCAAATATTCAATGACACTAAGCCGTCCAACATGAGTAAACTGTTGGTGCTATCGGTATAATTAGTCTTCTAAAGTTCATTACTCTGACTATTTTTTTTTCAAATAAACGGTATATTATATTTTTATTAAACACATGACCCACATTATAGGAATGCTCTTAGCAGAGTGAAATGTAATTATATGATCAGTACTATTATTACTTTGCTGAATTATTCTTGCAACTGCATTTACCTAGTGTTAATAACATATGTATAATATAGCGACTAATATAGTCCTTTAAGCAATATATTATACTTCTATTCCCACTAGACACTCGCTAGACTTGGTGGCATCGCCTGACTATAAAGACAGTAGGGGGTTGACTCCACTCTATCACAGCTCCATGGTGGGAGGAGGACCCTACTGCTGTGCAGCTGCTGCTGCACGACCATGCCCAGGTCGGCTGTGTGAGACGAGAACGGCTGGCAGGAGATACGACAAGGTAATACACACACCACACCACACACACACACACACACACACACACAACACACACACACACACACACACACACACACACACACACACACACACACACACACACACACACAACACACACCACATCACACACACACCACCACACACACATTCACACACCACACCACATCACACCACACACAACAGTGATGGATTGTGCACAATACAGATGTAGTTACAAAGGTAGAGGTCAGTCACATTTAATTGATTTTACGTTTCCTTCTGTAGAGAATGTATTTCGTGGTGGTTGAATCCCTTGGGAGGAGGGGGGGTCATGGGCTGGTGGGAAGCTCCAGCTTGGGTAGAAAGTCATTCTTCCCCAGTCTGAAGGTTTGAACATGCACCAGTTTGGAACACTTTTCAATCAATCTGCACTTCTGACTTTTTAAGTATATATTAATATTTAAAACATTGTTTTTGTTTTCCTGTAAATGTATAAGGGTTAGGGGCCAAAATAAATATTCTATTCCAAAAACACTACTGAAACATTGCATTATTCATTGCTTTAACCACAAACACTTAAACATGTATGGTGCACATGCTCACACAATCTGAATGCAAGCACAAACACCAATGGCTACTAAAGGTCATTATATAGACATATATTGTTCTAAACTAAGTGAAGTAGTGGCTTGCAAAAATGACTTTACTGGGTTTTCAGAGTTCATTGACACCAACAGTTCATCGTGCTATTGTTGTTGCAGCTGTATCTGTGCCAGTGTCCGGCAGGTTCAAGCAGTCGGTAAATCTAAGTGAACCATAGAAATAGTTGCCATATTGTGTGCATGTTATACTCGTATTGCATCAAGCCATGCCCTGCTCTGTAAACACAACGGTTGTTTTTTGTTTGTGTCAGGGCTTTTAGGCTTATATCAGACAGAAAGACACTGGAGGTCTGAAGGCCTGTGTAAGAAAAGGCACAACAGAAAGCTCATCTCTTCTGTTGCTCACACTGAATATAAATAAAATGCTGTATGGAATCAAGCTCATACCACTTATGTTATATTTGTATGTAAATCTTCTTGATTATTTTCCAAATAAATTATCAATATTTGTAAACATAGGATATGACACCGCACTTGTATTCATTTAGTTATAGTGTTGTTCTAATGTAATAAAATAACTAATAAGAAGTGAGAATTAGCAGAAACCCGACTCAGGAGGTAACATTTCAAAAGAGGGTCAGTCAGGGGATTTGCACCTTCATTACCTGCATGTTCTCCAACTCCCCACTTCATCTATATTTCTCTCCCTCATAGCTTCTACCTTTAAGTCTTGATAATTCTCAAGGTCCTGCTAATTGTGGTCGTTGTTGAGTAATTCATGAGCAAGATGGAAAAGTTCACAGTAAAACGTTTTTTTGTTCCCTGGGAATAAGCTCAACTGAACTTTGTCGCCTAGAAAAGTACACTCTATTAAGTTTCAATTAAACCATAGAATGGTGTTGTAGAGAACCGATTTTTTTGAACGAAGTATGTTGGATCAAAAGGTTGTGGTATGATGCAAAAACCAGTTCATACACATAGAATTATGTTCCACATATGGAAGATTTAGGGCAATTTTATGTCATATGTTGTTGTATTGCACTGTACACAAAACAAAACAACATTTACTCACATGTCATGTCCTGTACAGGGGAAAAACACATCTACACCATTTAGGTGTAGCAGTCCATCTTTATGTTTGTCACAATATACTGCTGCTTTGATATACATGTTGTTGGAAGTGGTTCTCTACTGAATATGACTAGTGACCACTGGAAAAACTTGTTTTGGTTTTTTCTGCTGATCTCTGACTGCAGGACTTAAACCAAAGTGAAATGATTTCACCTTTCACTTTTGTATGAAAGGTACTGTATATGAATGAAACTTGCACACAAACACACACACAGCGTAAACACTTAGCCTTTATGGCAATTTTAGGAGTGTTGATTATGCTTATGGTTAATCTCATGAATGGGCACTGAAGAGCTGTTATTCATCAGTCTAAACTCAAGCAATTTGCTTTAAAGTTTGTGCAGTTACAGTCTGTTGAATCCACCATGGCACAGAGAACTTTGAGTATATAAATACAAAAATATTCTTGCATTACGCCCACTGGTACCTTTAGTGCTGTCTCCATCACACACCATGTCTCTCCTCCATTTTGCTTACCTAAAGATGGCGTGCTAAGGAGAGGCTACCTTAGGGAAAGATGAAGTCAAGAATGAAAACTGAGGGTTTGTTTTTTATACTTGTCTCCCAGGTTTTAAAGAGGACTCAGATGATGTTATAAATGCAAGACACAGAGTAAATCCAAAGGTCCTTCAGCCCTCACACATGTTCTCCCTATGTCTACCTCCTTTTCCTTGTCTTTCCTTTTTCTGTGACCTTTCCAGCATTAGTATTCTAGAGGAATACATGGTGTACAATAGGATACACTGCTGAAGGTGTGATAACCAACAACAATCCCAACATCATTTGTGTGCTGTCTCCTCACTGTCACACACTCTTAGCGAGACAGAACACAGGAGGGGAAAACAATTGCTGGGGAGAGACGGTGTGCTTCTTTGTCAATGACACAGGACAAAACTACAGAGTAGGAGGCAAAAGAGGTAGAGGAGGTAAAGATAAGATGAAAAGTGTATTGCTTCCAGTTATGGGAAACAAGGCGCTGAAAAAAGGAATCTCATTTTGTGAGAATAATTTTACCTCAGAGATTTTGCCTCAGGTGAACAAGGGTCTCTCCTGCTTTACGAGACTGTGAACCACATGTGTGAGGGAATTAGCCCCCAGGGAAAAAAACTATGGAAAATATTTCCAAACTTGTAACATTTCTGAGGTCTACAACTTTTAAAATTGTTGTATTTAAAAACAACTTGCTGTTTTAACAGGCAGAACCAGAGGGTGTACTGCACCCTAACACTTGATTGTTCATCGAGCTTTAGTTTTACTTTTCAGTTTTCTTTACTGGGATTGATAAGCTCACATAAACACAATGAGCTCTGGTTAAATCCAGTGTGTCACTATTTTTACACACTACACCTTTTTGTCATCTATTTAATTTTGACAAATTAAATAGATCATTTTCTCAGACACACTGGGTGATTGCTCCCTTTTCACTTTGTAACTAAACAAGGATTAATGATGTTTTAAAAGAGGTAATGAATGAATGTGTGCTTTCAGGCATGCGCTATGGCCACGTTCAGCACTTGGAGCACCTGCTGTTCTACGGAGCCGACATGAGCTCCCAGATAGCATCTGGAAACACCGCCCTCCATGTGTGTGCTCTCTACAACCAGGTAACTAGCTGTTTTTTTTTAATTGCTTGTGTGCTTAGAGAATGGTGGTTTTTCTCCAGGAAAGACATGCATATTGGACTGTTTGTGCGATACATGACTTTACATCCAATATTCAGGGCAAAAGGAAGAAGAGGATTCATATTCACAGAGCTGTTGCAAAGTGGCAGTTTTGATGCAATTCTTAAATTGAATGTACGGTATGTAGGCATTGTGAGGCATTAGGATCTACAGTAGCTTGTTCTCCTAGAAGAGAGCAGAGCAGTTTCTGTGCTTTAACGGTATGGGGTTGAGCTTTATGTGTCTAGCTCGAGGACACTTGTATCGATTTGTGGTTTATATGGCCTTCTGATTTGCAGGATATACACCATGCAATGCCTCTTTATGTGTGTGCTCGTACATGCACACCTGTGTAGCTTAAGCTAAAGGATACTCTGAGTAGGTGGCGTCTGAAGCAGATGTATCCGTTTACCTGGTCATTATGGACACTGTATTTGTTGGCTGTTTTGATAATTGACTGAAAGCGGATAATCAGGGAGAAGTGGGTCTAAGTAGGATTTTGACAACAAAACGGCCAAAGAGCAGGGGTATGTCTGCCATATGTATTCCATGTCATTAATGCACTCTGTCGGCTGCAATTTGGATGAAAGCTGCAAACAGTGTTTTGTTGCGCTGAACCTTAGAGACTCTCAGAGTCAGAGGAGGACTGTGTGTTGCTAGCGTTATTATTTTGTGTGGGAGTTATTATAGTGGATTACCTCAAGCTCTCATTCATGAGTACACACTGAGGATCTTACCTTGGTCTGTATAGATAATAATGTTCTGTTTGCACAGCATGTCATAAAGGCTACAGCCAGGGTATTTTACAGCTTTCTATAAATCCCATAAGAGATTTTAAAGAAATAATCCTCTTTAATCTATATCCTATATCCAAGGTGATATTCATCGCAAAATAAACTACAGTGCCCACATTAGTGGTTATGTCACCCAGTGCAACGATTAAGTGTTTTTAATAGTTTTTAGGCAACGATAATAGTTGTTAGAATATAAATGGTTTGTGGTCATCATGTTCTAGGAGGTGTTTGGCAATAAGAAAAACATAGAACATTTACACGCTTTTTCTTTATCCATCATTTTCATCAAAATTAGCATCAGCTCAATTCTTTCAAGAAAAATCAATCAAGCCAGCAGCTGCCAACTCTCCAAGTGATGAAATGTTCACTGGCTGAGAAGATGATTTGGGTCGTATAAAGTAGCTCATAAAGTAATAATGTGATTCAAGGTCTTATGAGGCTGTGATACGGGAAAAGACAAAGGCATAGTGTATATTTTAAATATTAATGAATGTGTTCTATATCAGAGAGGTACATGAGTACACCGGGCCATGAGAGCTTCAAATACTCCTGGGAAAAAGACGAGAGTATTCCGTGAGGTTCAGATGTGTCCATATGTTGCTCTTCTCCTGTTGGTTGGATGCTCCATAAGTAACATTGCAACTTGACGTTCTGCAAAAGGCTTTCCTGCTCCTTTGGAAAATAGAGAGTGGTGCTCAGTTCATGAACATTAAATGAGCACTTACTCCTCTCTCTCACTCACTCACTCTCTCTGTCTTTTGCAAATGAACAAGTCAAAAAGTGCATTCATGAATGTGTTTACGTGTTGTATTTGTAGCTGTGTACGTCGTGCACATGTTTCAGTCATGAGGAATGACCTGGTTTAACTGAACACCATTCTCAGGAGTGTGTGTGTGTGTGTGTGTGTGTGTGTGTGTGTGTGTGGTGTGGTGTGTGGGGTGTTGTGTGTGTGTGGTGTGGTGTGGTGTGTGGTGTGTGTGTGTGTGTGGTGTGTGTGTGTGTGTGTGTGTGTGTGTTGGTGTGTGTGTGTGTGTGTGGGTTGTGTGTGTGTGTGTGTTGTGTGGTGTGTGTGTGGTGTGTGTGTGTGTGTGTGTGTGTGTGTGTGTGTGTGTGTGCGTGTTTTGGAGGCACAGCATCAACATTTAACAGGCTGTTCGCAACACATCCACGTGACTGAAGTCATTCGGTGTCACTCTTGTCAGTGGAGGGCCGGTCGTGATTGTATGTGGACTGAATATAATCAAAGAGATAATGAATTAATGAATAGTTTTTATCTACTCATACAACTTATTTTAAGTTAACAGTCTTGTTATGGTCACACTCCGAGCTCTTGTCTACTTCCACTGTTTAGCACGTCGAGGCTGATGATCCCAGATACAGGTCTCTTAGCTGGGGTTCCAGCAAGCCTCGAGTCAGGCCTTGCTCGGATGATTATTGTACCATACAGACAGAAAAAAAGGCGCTTTGAATTTACCGGGAACCTAGTCGTCTAATGGCCACAGATCAATACACCATATGGAGAGGAAAGGATAAGTGTCCAGAAAGAGGAAAAGTTTGGAGAGCAGAGAAGAGAACAGCAAGGTGCATAACTATCATTAGCAACACAGCAATAAGCTTGAATCGAGTTGTTCTATTGCCACAGTTCGATCGACGACTCATTCACATAACTTTACTACTGAGCTTTTTGGCTAGGCCCTGTCATATAGTTGATTAGCAGCAATGAATGAATGCATAGCAGGGGTCTTCTACCTGGCAGACAGATCCATGGGAGGTGCTGGGCTGAATGATTGAGAAAGGACACAGTAGGTAAGGCAAATGGGAACAACACTGATGAGGGACATTAAAGAGAGGTGGCACAGGACACACACAGGACTTTTGGAAGTAATGGAATCTTGCTGCAACTCTATAATAAGCTGTATGGAAGATGTATCAATGTACTTCATGCCACAGTGATTGTAGGCTGCAGTTGTGCACAATAATGAGGAGGAATTCAGAACTCATTTACAGTGTTGCAGCAGTAAATTACACATGTTATGTGCTTCAGATTAGTCACATTCCAATGTAAAAAACAAGCCCAATGTGCAGTGAAGGATCTGCGTATATCTAATGAGAGAAGGGATCATCAAATGTATAAACATGGCTGTGAAGAGGTACCATCTGTCACACTCTTTACACATGACTGACCCGTGTCAATGCTGTAAAGTACTTGATGTAGCTCACTGTGTATTCCTGTGTAGATAATATAATCACATCTAGAAACCATGGTGAGATCTACTGGAAATGTTTCCTTAATGAATTCCTATAGGAAGCCTTGGAGAGAAGAGAAAGACAGATGGCCTTCACTGTAATTGGTGTGTGTGTGTATGTGTGTGTCTGAGTGTTTGTTTGCCTGTTTGTGCATGTCCTTGTAAAAGAGTGTAGAATGTCTCAATAGCACAAATGATAGTTAAATGGAATTCAGTAGTTGTTCTTAAAACTTGATTTTCCTAAATATGTAAGGATGTAACATGCGTTGACATGGACATCAGTAAAAGTAAATAAAAAAGGTTAAGTTGTATGATTTTGATTATTTTTTATTTTCTTTGATAATGTTTCACCACATTAAAAATCAGCAAAAGCTACAACTTGTGTTTTGTATCAAAGAGGAGAAAGACGTCCCGTCTATCATATAGCAATCCTTCAACACTTCTCTCCAGCATTAATGTATTGTCCATTATATAACAGGTTTTTCTTAAACTTGTTTTATGACCTTGCTTTTGTGGCTAAAAACAGAAAGGTAACTAACCAAAAAACATATGGTGTTCATTTCGATCATTACGCGGTGTGTTGGTGTGTGTGTGTGTGTGTGTGTGTGGTGTCTGTGTGTGTGTGTGTGGTTGTGTGTGTTTGTGTGTGTGTGTGTGTGTGGCTGTGTGTGGTGTGTGTTGTGTGTGTGTGGTGTGTGTGTGCGCGTGTGCGTCTGTCCCTCAACATGACAGGAGTCACCAGAGTTAGTGGTGCTGTGTGTAGAGCAAAACTAGTCGCGTTTATTCTGCACTCAGTGATTGAATACAAAATCAACCCTTTTTTTCTTTAACACTCAGAACATTATATACTGTAGCAATAGTTTGAGACAAAAGAGAGAAGGAGAGAGAGGGAGAGAAAGAGTGTGTTGTAAAACTATATAGGGTGTCTGTTTCATCCTTGTTGTAATGTGTTTCTTGGATTTAATTAATTTCAGCCTCCTTTTGCATTTTAAGTATAGTTTAGCCAATGCTTGTCCAACAAGCTCTACGTTGAATTCCTTTTATAAAATACAGTGTTTTACTACACTTACTTGAACATGTTGTGATTAGTACAGAGCATGTTGGGGTCTTTTTGTGTCTCTTTTCTTTGTCTTTTCTTCCTGCTATGTTTACTGAAATTCAAGATAAAAGTATATTAAAACTAGGGCTGGATGGTATGAGATAGAAGCAGTATCAATGTAAGTCTGGACACTAACAACATGTATTGGCACGTCACCATTATAATTTGTTAAAATCTTACTTTACAAATACAGTGCTACACAAAGACATGGCTAAGAGTTCAAGTTAAACCATCCATGTCCATTATATAACAGGTTTTTCTTAAAACTTGTTTTATGACCTTGCTTTTGTGGCTCAAAACAGAAAGGTACTAACCAAAAAACATATGGTGTTCATTTCGATTCATTACGCTGTGTGGTGTGTGTGTGTGTGTGGTGTGTGTGTGTGTGTGTGTGTGTGTGTGTGTGTGTGTGTGTGTGTGTGTGTGTGTGTGTGTGTGTGTGTTGTGTGTGGTGTGTGTGTGTGTGTGTGTGTGGTGTGTGTGTGTGTGTGTGTGTGTGTGTGGTGTGTGTGTGTGTGTGTGTGTGTGTGTGTGTGTGTGTGTGTGTTGTGTGTGTGTGTGTGGTGTGTGTCATTGTGCATGCAACTGCATAATGTATGGTTGATTAGCGATCATCACACTTTAAAGCCGCAGGCATTTATCTATATACGTTTTTAGATGTTTTAGACCCTGAGCAGTTGGGCTATTAGTAGTAAGAGTGATCATGCATTATTCATAACACACCATTTACAAATATCCCCATGTATTTACCATCCATGTTTACATGTACGTGCTAATGCAGGACACCATGGTCATTTCAGGGCAGAGTCCGGCACCCACGTAGCTACCATCTGTGTGTTTTACCAGAAGAGGGGTGCTCCAGTTTGTTTGTGTTAACCTCATACTGTTGCAAGACCAGTTAATCAGATAAACCACGGATTATGAGGGAAATCACATGGATCTGTTTTACTTGACATTAGTTCAAATAGTGTGTGTGTGTGGTGTGTGTGTGTGTGTGTGTGTGTGTGTGTGTGTGGTGTGGTGTGTGTGTGTGTGTGTGTGTGGTGTGTGTGTGTGTGTGTGTGTGCGTGTGTGTGTGTGTGTGGTGTGTGTGTGTGTGTGTGTGTGTGTGTGTGTGTGTGTGTGTGTGTGTGTGTGTGTGAGTGTGTGTGTGCGCTGTGTGCGTGTTGTCCCTCAACATGACAGGAGTCACCAGAGTTAGTGTGCTGTGTGTAGAGCAAAACTAGTCGCGTTTATTCTGCACTCAGTGATGAATACAAAATCAACCCTTTTTTTCTTTAACACTCAGAAACATTATATACTGTAGCAATAGTTTGAGACAAAGAGAGAAGGAGAGAGAGGGAGAGAAAGAGTGTGTTGTAAAACTATATAGGGTGTCTGTTTCATCCTTGTTGTAATGTGTTTCTTGGATTTAATTCATTTCAGCCTCCTTTTGCATTTTAAGTATAGTTTAGCCAATGCTTGTCCAACAAGCTCTACGTTGAATTCCTTTTATAAAATACAGTGTTTTACTACACTTACTTGAACATGTTGTGATTAGTACAGAGCATGTTGGGGTCTTTTTGTGTCTCTTTCTTTGTCTTTTCTTCCTGCTATGTTTACTGAAATTCAAAGATAAAGTATATTAAAACTAGGGCTGGATGGTATGAGATAGAAGCAGTATCAATGTAAGTCTGGACACTAACAACATGTATTGGCACGTCACCATTATAATTTGTTAAAATCTTACTTTACAAATACAGTGCTACACAAAGACATGGCTAAGAGTTCAAGTTAAACCATCCATTTCAACATGTATTCCACTCATATCCATTAAAAGTTAAGAGCAGAGCAGGAGGTCCAGCAACTCTGACTTAATTAAAGGCCGTAAAAAATATTAATAAAAGATCAATTGCAGCTTGTAGCATATTACAATTATTTGAATGTCAAATTCAACACAAACAACCTCACCCATCGTCTATCTGCTTCTAGTATTAGTCGGAGGGTATTTAGTGTTTTCCCTATTTCCTTCTAAAAATCGCTTCATAGTTAATTAGTAGTGAATATGGTTGCATTGTAGATAATTGTGTGTGTGTGTGTGTGTGTGCATTGTTGTTCATTATGCACTTCATCTGCTGGAGTCAGTGCTCACACTTTCAAACATATCATGCAGTAATGCTGCCTCTGTTCAAATGTTCTCACGGCACCGTTTCTTTAAATCTAATATTTCTGTTTGAATGTTGCAGATGGTAAAATATAGTGATCTAAAACTCCTAGCTAACCAACCACACACATGTTGCTCTCCTCATTCAGGACAGCTGTGCACGAGTTATCCTGTTCCGGGGGGCCAATAAAGAAATAAAGAACTACAACAGCCAGAGCGCCTTTCAGGTATGTTTGTTATCCAAAACCTCTGCATGCCATGGGACTACTTAACATACCCTACATCTTTGACATGTCAGAGCTAAACGGATTGAATGACTTGTCTTACACAGATACATGCTGCTAAATTGAATGTATTGATCTCTTTTAAAACACCCAATTTGGGCTTTGCTGAATACTAGTCTTTTCTGGTTGATGAAGTCTGTGTAAAATTGAGACTGACGCTTCCTGTGGAAATCAAAGTTAATTTGTTTCTACACAAGGCAGAACATTGCCAGACGTACTGATTTTAAACACAACAAAGGAGTACATGTGTAAACATTATGCGATTTCTTTGTCGACAATTTTTTGCTTTTATTTTTTGTGTAGCTTCTGTCACTTATGTGTTGCTCCTTTCCTTTCCCTGTCTCTCTCCATTGCCAGGTGGCTATTATAGCAGGAAACTTTGATCTGGCTGAAATCATAAAGGTCACAAAGTATCAGATGTTGGTAAGTTAACAGCGGTGGTAGTATTTCTCTACCTGGCTGCCTCAGTGTTTCATAGGATTCAGACATGAATGAGGTATCAGGGAGTGATCAGACTGAAGAATGCCTGAGCGTAGATAGAGAAGCTCAAAAAGGTGAGGACAGGTTATAGACTGAGCTGTGTGGAAGTGAAGGGAAGAAAATAGACATTTAAGGAGTGGAGAAGGATTCATGGATTTGTTGGATTCCTGCCGAGCAGTTTCTCCTTGACATATACATACTGGGAAACTCTGCCATCTAGTGTGGACACAATGTAATTCAAGGTTCAAGGTTCTTTATTTTGTCATACGACACCATACATATATAATAATACACCATTATTTTATATTGAAATGCTCATATTTGATCCCAATTAACAAGAAGCAGTTTCAAATGGGAAACCTTATGAACCTCTTTCAATTTACACTTTAAATAAAAGTTGTGCCGCCTTCATTGAACTTTAAATATACTTTAATAATGCATATAAGAACTTATATATACAATTTCAAATATTTTTTAGCTTCAATTTATCATGAAGACATATTAAATTCCCCAGCTACAATAAAACCCAGTTCTGCCTTTCTGAAACATCTAAACGGATATCCTTATTCTTTATTTGGGTCTTCATTCTTCAGGGGTCGATGTTAAAATGTCATCATAGTTATGTAAATGTAGTCCTATATTTTATAGTATATATTAAATTTGATTCTTAAGATTCAAAGGCTTTACTGCAGTACCAGATCCTCTGTGTTTTCCTGTTCCTAACAGATAATAAAATAAGTATTTTGCAAATGAAATGAAAGCACAGCCTACTGTCAGATAAGTGCAACCGTTTAAATACTTTGAGTGACCTTGAGATGTGTGAAGTTTACAGTTATCTCCCCATCAAATAATTCTATTCACTGTGCCTGCTACAGTAGCTTTATATATTATGGTGAGACTGTTAAGACGTGTCTCTTCTTTCAGTGCCTTTCAGGGAGACCCCCTCTTACACCAGCCGTCGACGTATGACAGCGGGACCCCTGCCCCTCGCCACGATCTCTGCTCCGCTCTGCGAGTGACAACAACCTGAACGGGGACCACGATCACATCCACGGTCAGGCCCCAGAGAACCTCGCGGCCGGCAGGGTCACTCCCCCGTCCCCTCACTGCGCAGCCTGCCAGCTTTCGGTCAGCAGCACAGCAGCCTCGGAGAGGTAAGGCGAAAAGGCGAGACTGCAGGTTTGCAAAGTCAGAGATTACAAAACAAGTAAAGAAGGGTTCTCTTTTATCCTTTCGCCTGTATCTACTTGTCTTGAGTCCTTTTTTGTATAACTAATACTGTTGATGTATTGTGATTTTAAGGGTACTAACTTTAACTTTATCATCTGGCCGGGGACAACAGCTGGTGTGGTGGGAATTCATTTATCAAATGTGGATAGAGAATCAAACCATTCAGCTGTCTCTTTCGTAGTGTAACTAACAACATTGCAACAAATCTTCTTAATAAGGAATTTTCCAAAGCTTAGCTAAGAAGTGTGAGAAGTAGTAAATATAGATAAACATTAGCAATAAGAATCACAGAATGATATTATTAAAGTAAGTAAGTGAGTATAATATTTTTCTATTACACTGGAATCAGCAATGTTTTGCTAAAGCTGCCCTATGATGGTTGATCAATGGGGACTGTCCACGACACTATAAAAACTAAAAATGAGAAACAATTTGACACAATCCCATGATAAGAGTGCACAAAGGGGATTACTGTGTCTTACATGTGCATATGAAACCGTCTCTTCTTCTGTGTCAGAGCCGTCATGGAGAGATCCCTGACAGCAGTCTCCAGAGCACAGGCAGCTCCAGATCCTCCCATTCCCGCTCGCCTTCGCTACATCACATGCACGAGGAGGACAGGCCGGTCCCCAGGAGGTCCCACAGCCATGGATACCCTCATGGACACAGCCATCGTGGAAGACTCAGGTCTGTAGGTTTCAGTTGACCTCAGCTCTACTTCATATGTTTCTTTTATTGATCTAAACTGTTTTTAAAAAAAGATTGTAAACAAGCACATGTCTCTCCTCCTGTTCCTGATTCATGTCTCACACTGTCTTGGCAGAATCTAGATAATCTGTGATTGGCTTTGTGATTAAGCACATCCTTTGATATTCAAACTGAATTTAAAATGCCCTATGCAATGTGTCTGAATCACTTGTTAGTCACCAGCATGACATAACATTTATCTGAGCCAAATCTTGTCTATTTATCCATCAATCAAGCCCAGGCAACATATGATAGTCGTTTTCCTGTCAAACTGTATTTGCAACCAGTCCAAAAAGTAATCGGCATAACACATAAACTGGGAATTGAAAATGTGTAGTTTTATGGCTGATTGAAACACTGATCAGTATGAGATCTGGTATAGTAATTTCATTGATCGTTTGGGTTTGAGGGCAATGGTCAGTGGCATCATTGTGTCTGGCATAGAAACATTACTCTTTATATAACCGGTTAGGCTGAAATACAGCATTTTTCCTGCTAGGAGGATGGAGGGCAAATAACCTAGTTCAGATCTGTGTGTGTTTGTCTCGGTGTTTGAATGGGAGGCCATGTATAGCTTTCACAATTCAGAGATAGACAGACGGACCACGGCTAATAATGATCACCATGGGGACCAATTGAAGGTTTTCAAACCTGCGAGTGTGTTTGTATGTCAGTTTTGTGTGAAAGAGGTTGAGGATACATTCTGAGATTATGGCTATGATGGATGTCATTGGCTGGCCACTCGGTTCCAAACAGCCTGTCACTCGCTGATACATACATCCACAGATGTAGTTGTGCTGCTGGGGAACAAATCCCCCCCTTGTACACCGTGCCATTAGACGAACTGCACAGTAAACTAAGGCTCTGATCACATCTTGGAGCGATAGATTTAAGTGGTCTACTGGCACTTGGTTTGTTAAGCTTTTTATTATGATCATATGTCAGAGCAAGATTACCTATGTGCAGCACACACCTAATTTGATTCCTGGATGCCACACACACACAACGTGTGTGTGTGTGTGTGTGTGTGTGTGTGTGTGTGTGTGTGTGTGTGTGTGTGTGTGTGTGTGTGTGTGTGTGTGTGTGTGGTGTGTGTGTGTGTGTGTGTTGTGTGTGTGTGTGGTGTGTGTGTGTGTGTGTGTGGGTGTGTGTGTGGTGTGTGTGTGTGTTGTGTGTGTGTGTGTGTGTGTGTGTGTGTGTGGTGTGTGTGTGTGTGTGTGTGTGTGTGTGTGTGTGTGTGACAGGGGAATTGCATTACAGACACAGCACCAGCCTTACTCCCCCTCTCCCTTTAATACTCTCCTGTCACTTTACTACATCCATCAAAGACTCTGTTTCTCTCTCGCTCTCTCTCTCTCATTCACACACACATACAGACACACTTAAAAATATAAACACAATGCCATTAATCTGCACTATGGTTTGCAGCCACAGAGCAAACATCATTCTTTATTAAATCATGTAACATGCTCACATCAAACCGCATAGAGACAAAAGCTCTAAATCTTATCTATAATCTTCACTCAATCTTAAATCACTTTATATAAAGTACATAAAGTTCATTAATAAACTTACAGTGGAGTGTTAACCACCCACCACTCATTCTATTAATTGTGTTCCTCATTATGGTAACAAACTAAGTGCATTTCTCTGCTATATCTGGCACTGCAGTTGGCATCATTATTTAGTGACAGAGAAAAACATGTTTTGCTCTGTCATTGTGCACAATGCTTATTGTGTAGTCAAAATGCTAAGCTAGAGAAAGAGGAAACAGTGCGAAAGAAAAAGGAGAAAGCAGGTTTAGTATGTCTGCTGTGTCCTGGCCTAAATGCCCTTCTAACACACAGGGAGTTGTCCTTTAGTGTGCATCCACACTTATACTACGTAATAAAGTGAGGGTGAAGTGTATTAAAAGCCCAAAACGAGCAGCTGGTCTCTATGGCCAGAACCTGCCACCCAAGTGAGACTGATGCTGTCCTTCAATATTTCCCCTCCAATATTTCTCCCTCCCTCTCTCTGTTTCTCTCTCTGACCTTCTGTTATGCCCACGGTAACTCTAGAGGCATTATGGGTACCGGGGAGTGTTGAAATTAGCTTGGCCGGTCAGCAGCCCGCCCATCGGTTCCTGTGGAACTCACCATCACTTCCTCTTCTGTGGGCGTGTGTTGCCAGGGTTCAAAAGCTCTGCCAGCCTCCGTAGAAGTTTAGAGGCGACAACAGAGAGGATACAGACAGAGGCTCATTATACACTAGATCAGATGAGGAAAGCAACAAAGCTAACCAGTACAAATTAAAGCAGAAAAGTGTGTGTAAAACATCTCTGTAGTTAACATTATAATAGGACAAGAGGCTGGCTGCTGATATGATAAGGTGACACATTTCGTAACAGGTTTACATTGGCTACTTAGCATGATGTGCTGTCAATACAAAGAGATAATAATCATCAAGAGGGCTCTGTCTGACAGTGTCAGTGTCAGAAATTGGGTTATTAAGCATTGCACCTTATAACATATTACTCAGTCTTGGTTGGAGAGGAAGCTAAAATAGATTGAAAAATATTGTGTTTCTAAGCAAAGAGGATCTTTTTCACTTTCAGTTTGTAACAAGAAAATTCACATTTTCAACAACCTGCCTTATAATGTCATTGCAAAATGACTTTGTGCCAATATCTATTAATTAAAATATTTTTTTGGCATAAACATCTGACTGGTTAAGGCAAGAGATAAAAAAAAATAAAAATAACTTGTTTTGTCAAGTTATCAAATCGTTGCCAGCACCATTTCTGTAAAGTACAGTCAGAAAGCAGGCCATTGTTTAAACCAAGTGTCCAGGAGATTTCAAAGCAGGTGCTGAATCCTCATTTCAGATGAAGATTAATTTCAGTCGCACAACATAACCTCAAACATGTTGTCATATAAGGTCGTTGTGGTAGCTTGTGGTGTCAGTAGCAATAAATGCTTTTATTTCCTGCTGTTGTGCTATAGGACCCCCTGTTTGTGATGTGTAATGTCAACATTAAGCCGACGGTGGTATCCAGCTCCTTCACCTTTTAAATCTCTGTTTGTTGCTGTTCCTCCTACCTCTTGTTGACCCCTTTATCCCCTCTTCTTCCTTTGAATTAGTCACACCAGGGCTGTTTGTGTGTAGATTATACCACAACGGTTAAGACAGCCAAGGGCTGAGCTACACAGCAGATAAACAAGGACAAGGGATAGAGAGGAGGGGGGAGAAGTTGAACCTCATCAAAGCAGGACAACCGGTATTGGTTAGTTGCATGTGAATCATTTGTGTCAGAGGGTGTACTGATAGGCTAATGGTGATTTTTCGTTTTTGCAGTTCAAACAGAACTACTCTCGAGTAATCTCTTGCCAGTATCTCCAGTTTTGTGGCAGCAGTAGGATAATATGCTGTGCGTTGATGTCTGTCTTCCACTTTCTCATATCTTCTTGGATATATTTCAAGACGTTCCCGCCCCAAGGCGTTACTGGATTATGTTATCCCTCCGGCGTGTTATTTGTCTTCCCTGGGGTCTCATCCAGGTAACGTGCCCATGAGGTTCACTTTGAGCTCCTTCTGCATATGTAAGCTTTCCTTGACCTGGAGGGTTGAGCCCCAAGACCCTGAAGAGGGAAAACATCATTTTAACTTCTTGTATGCATTTTCTCCTTCTTCTTTTAGTTCCCAGAACTCAAGACCTTAGGTGAGAGGTCAAAATCAGATCAACAAGAGAAGAAATTCCTTTAGGCTCAACTCCCTCTTCACCATGACAGCTCAGAACAGCAGTTAAATCACTGCAGGTGCCATAATCAATACACCTGTCAATATCAGATTATGTTGACCCTTCATTTGATCATCATAAATCATAACATAATCATAAGTCTGTTTCAAGCCCTAAATGGCTTAGGCCTTATGTGCTTTTCCCACTGCAGGAGCTTTCCACTGCAGGAACGCTAGCACGGCTTAGTACGGAATGGTTAGGCCTTGGTAGGCCAGGCTCACTTATGGCTGCGTTTCCATTACAGTTTAGGAAATGGGGTAGTAACTACAGTAACGCAGTGTAGGCGGGGCGATCGGCGGTGTCGGTGGCGGAGCGACGCTGCGTAAAACCCATGACGTCATCGTCAATGCGAACCAGCAAAACATCCGCCGTTAGCTGTTAGCACTCAGAGCTCACAGCTCCTCATATCTGTTCAGAAACTAGACAAAAGTTAAACAAGTACAAACCACATAGACTGCCTGTGTCATGTCGAATACAGTCGCTGGTTTATTTATGTCTGTAGGCCGTTGTTGTGATTGTGATGGAGCATATACTGTACAACGTTAGCTTAGCCTGATTGATCCGATCTCCATTCAGAAACACACAATTGTAAAAGTTGTTTCCGCTCTGCCATCTTGTCTGCACACGCATCATTTTGAAACGTGGTATTACAATTTAATCACTGTAAAATATGTCATTTGTTGTAGTTGTAGCCCCCATTGCCAGCGATTCTCTCGGACCAATTCAGGCCGTCGAGAGTGTTTACGTCACTAGTTTAGCATATTCAGCCCGGTTGTTGGCCCGGTAAGAACCTCAATTTTGAGGGCCAGAAAAAAGGTGAAAAAGTAGCCCCTAGTGGAAAAACCAAAAAAAAAGTAAACCGGGCCCGCTTAAACCGCCTATTAGTTACCCATCTCCCCTCCACAACACCACAACACTCCCTGAAGGACTTCATCAGAAGCCTCCTTCAAGTCCGTTTAAGCTATTAGAGTCTTTTGTAGTCGTAGCCTATTCCAAAACTCCAATAGACAGGATTGCTAAATCATTTAATTTAGCAGTGAACATACAATCCAAGCCATGAGACTATAGTTTGGTCTTTAAATTACATTAAATGACAGTAATCAGAAAAATTAACCCATATATAAAGTTGTAGTGAAAATATTCTAATGTAGGGTAAACTATT